AGTTTTTGGTGGACACAACATCTTTATTTTATTTTATGTGGTGCTGAGGATCGAACCCAGCGCCCCGCGCCTGCCAGGCGAGCGCGTTGACTGCTTGAGCCACATCCCCAGCCCCCCTCCACTCATTCTTATCATCCCTCAGTCCCTCGGGTGTTGTCTCCATCCACCTCTGCATTTTTCTCCCCAAGCATCTCCAAAGAAAAGTTGTTAATCCTCAAAATAAACAAGTATGATCCAGTCATCCCCAAGCAGTGTCCCATAAAGATCTGCAGACTTCACTGCTTCTCCTGGTGGTTCCAGGCTCCCAGCCTCCTCTGTGACCTCAGTGAGGTGGGGTGACAGCTGACTTCTGCTGTCCAGCAGGCCCAGCCGGGCAGAGGGCTCAGAGCCAGTTCCCCCTCTCCTGCCTAACAGGAAATCCTGCCCATTGGGTACTGCTTAGTTTTGGGGACTGAGCTCAAGCAGGGTGGCAGCTGACTTCCAGTCCAAGGCAGGCAGAGCCAGATGGCCCCAGAGACGAAGGAGTGGTTGGATGAGAAGTGGGGCTGCACACAGCCCTCTTTCAACCCAGGGCAGGTGGGGCTCAGGAGCCAGGAAATGGAGGAAAGCCCAGACCCTTACCCTCCAGAGAGTGAGTTGGTCTCTAGGTTTCTGGGGGTGGGGGCAGTCGGCTGTGCTGTGCTGGTTGGTCTGCAGTGGCTGCTGTACAGGGCAGTGTGGGGTGCAGAACTTGTCCTTAGTACTGGCATGGCTCTGACTTCTCAGTCCACCCCCCTTCCAAGAGGCCCACCTTCCTTTTCTGAAAGGCGGCCTTGTCCTTTCTCAGGGGATCAACTCCCCACCAACCCCTGTGTCTTGAGTCTTGGGCTTGGGACATTTATGCCAGCCTTAGAGTGGACACTACCAAGCCCATCAAGCAAAATCCCAGAAGTCTGGTCCTAACCATCCACCACTGCCTCTAATCACTGTGCTGGCCAGTCAGTACTCTGGGCTGGGTTTAGCAGAGCAGAGACGGGCACTGCATCTTGCCTGATGGTCAGTGGAGATGATGATGGGCAGACAGAGGCTGGGAAAGCTGTCCCCTAAGCAAAGGTCCCATTTGCTACGTGGCCCTGCCTCCTTTTGCCTGGGACCCCATAAGCTCAGGGAGCACTTGATAGCAGGGCTGGGCCCGGCAATAGCCCCAGGCCCACCTCCCAGCCCTCAGGCCAAGTAGAGAGAAAAGAGGAAGGACTTTAGAATCAGACAGGCCCATCCTGTGAGACCAGCAGTCACCCCAGCTCTCTGAGCACGTGTCCTCTCCTAGGAAACTGGCTTCCCACTGCACCTGCAGCAAGTGACTACAGACAGTTGAAACAGCACAGGGGTGCCATCTGCCAGCATACCAACAAGGTTTGGGAGGTTCAAAGTCCAGATGGGGTAGTACAGATTGGCGAGGGCCACCCTGGGCTGTGCCATATCATGGAGGGTGGCAATGACCAAAGCCTTAGAAGCAAGTGATTTCATCTCAAACCAGGAGCAGGGAGATGGGGTCAGGCCTGCCCTTTTTATAATATGCATTAGGTGACTTAGTAAGCTAAGTCACTTCACTGTGTGGTCATATATAATTCTCTCAACAGAGAATTGCCTTCTAAGAGCTCACCAACCCAAGAACCTCATATCAGGCTCCACCTCCCAACAGCACCACCTTACCAACCACAGTGGACCATTGGGACACCCAAACCATCCTCAAACCACAGCATGCCTCATCTCAAGGTCAGCTGATTGACATCTCAGCTCTTCGGCCACAGAACACATTCCCAGGTCCTGGAGATTAGACGGGGGCATCTTGAGGGGCCGAGGGCCATCTATACTGCACAAAGGAATGTGTTCCTGTTATTCTGGGAAAGGGGCAATCAATAAGGATGGTTTTCTCCTTTACTCTCCTCCTTCAAGCAGTTTGCCAAAGTTATTAACCTGAGTGTGAAAAGTAACCAGGAGGGTGTATTGAAGGACAAGACGTGGTGAGCAGGAGAGGAAGGTGGATCATTAGGAGGTGCAGGATCAGGCTCCTAGCTCTGCACAGCCCTCCCAAGCCTGCCTCCTGTCCTTACCCCTGTGCCTCATTTTCCTACTTGCTCTGCGTCACCTTTGTTAGCTGCCAGAGCTCACCCAAACTGGTCTTCTTCTGGCTGGAATCCGGGGTAAAATACCACTTTGTATTTGGAACAATTCTCCAACAAGTTGTGAAGGAAAAAGCCAAAGTTCCAGTAGAAACGTTATTGGGGAGGAGAGCTGCCCTCCCCCGACAGGGCCACATGGAGGGCCACAACTGACACATGACTGACCAGGACAAGGATCAGGCAGAGGTGTGAGGTTTTCCAACTTGGCTTTTCCCTGTGGCTCCCTGAAGACCAGTGTCTGGGAAGGGAGGCTTTGGAAAACGCTGGAGTGGATGACTCTGCTCTGGTAGAGAGGGGCCATGTCACCTTCTGTAACAGTGGGGGRTGGCCTCCACCACAGGGGATCTTCTGGCTCAACCTAGCAAGGCCTAAACTGTGCAGTCTCAGTGGAAGCTGAGAGAAGAAACAGTCTCTTTAGTCCTGCCAAGTTCCAAATGTGACAGTAAACCCTACAATGAAATCCAGCCTCATAAATTCTATCCCTACTCCAGAAAAACCCTTCTGACTCTGGTCTGCATTCACCTTTGCTCTAAGCAATCAGCACTCCCAACACAGGGAGGAAATGGTGCCATCAGACTGGGAAGGCATCAGCCAGAGAGGGCGAGGGCAGCCTCAGGGTCTGCCTCCATTCTGGAGCACACCTGGAAGGGGTCCCTTGGCTGCGAGGGCTGGGTTATTTCCTATCTGTCCACACATAGCCCTGCTGGTGAACTTCAGGGATGCCGGTGTCCATGGGCATTGCTGTCCCTTCCAGTGGCCAGAGCAGTGTCCAGGATCCTTCATACAGGGGACTTGGATTTCTGTATCCAAAGCTGCCATGTTGAAAAAGGGGTCCCATTTCATTCCAGTACTGCCCCCCACCCAGGCCCTCTGCCAGCCAGGCTGAAGGGGGCTGTGTGTACTATGTTGGGACCTAGGCCTTTGTGCCTACTGGGGCACTGTCCCCTCCCTCCTCTGTGTCCTACCTGGAGCCCACAGAGCCAGGCAGGAGCCAGTCTTGCTGCACAGGGCAGGGCTACCAGAAGAGATGCCAGCATGGACACCCACTGGGAGGTGGGGGCAAGGTGAGGGAGCCAAGAAGCACCATTCCTCAAGTTGGCAGGAAAGAATCCTGTTGAGCCCACTTGTGCCCAGCGTGGACCCCAGGCGGCCACACCAGCCAAGATCCTGCTTTCTCCACCAAGAGGCCACCTTTGTGGCATCCCCTGGCAGGGGCAGGCCCAGACCAGCTGGCACGCGTCCTTATTAGAATTCTGGGTTGAACAGTCCTGTGAGCTGCCTAGTAAAAAACCAGAGAGAGGCCTTCAGAGAAAGCGCTTCAATGATGCACTCACCGCCAGTCAATTCAGACCATCTCCATCACAGTGGAGAGTCTGGAGCAGGAAGGGCTGCTCTGTCCCCCTGCCAGGCAACATAGGCAGCTGGGAGCCCTCTGGGGGGTTTCTGGGACTTTCTACACCTACATGAAGAAAAACCTAACTTCTCTGGGTGAGCTGGACAATTAAACTGCCCCAGAATGGTCCTAAGGCAACTTTGGTTTTTCACAAATAAATAGTTTAATTTAGTTGTTTCTACATTCTAGGATACTAATCAGACATAGGTCATCATCCCCAACCAACTTATGAAATATTCTAAAACAGCCCGGCTTCCAAGCAGCACAGGAGCTCTTTAAACCCGAAGCTCAGTCTAGTTTGGGAAAAGGAATCCACAGGTGCACAGTCTGTATCAGGCCAAGCCTCCTTTCTTGCAGAGCTGGGATGCAGTCCCCACTAGGTTCCTCCTCCTAGGTTCCTCCTCCGAAGCCTCAAGGAGTGACCCTGGCTGTTCCCACCCACCAGACACCCTCTCTGGGGGCCTTATCGTAGGTCAGCCAAAACTATCTGCAATGCAGAGCGGGACAGGCGGACAGTGAGCCGAAAACACAGCGGTGAACTCTCGCTCCTAGCAGCCCCGGGCGCCAAGCCTTGCAAGCTGGCATCTGAGGCCAGTGCGAGGTCTACCCTTTCACGTCCCGGTGGTCTGTGCCCACAGCCCTGCAATGCGCCCTGCCGTCCCTGGGACGCACAGGCAAGCCTGGGGGCAGCAACTCCCCAAGAGTATGCTTGGCGGATCCAGGACTGCTGGAGGCAGAGCGCGGGCCAGACTCCGAGGCCACAGAGCCGGAGGAGCCGCTCAGAGCCTGGACTCCATGGCTCGGCTCCAAAGAAACAGAAGCAGAGTCTCCAGTCCGAGAGCAGTGTTCGTCCCATGCGACCCCCAGGATGCACAGAGAGAGCCATGGTCGAAGCAGGCACACGACGAGAGTTCTGCTCCCGAGGGCTGGGAGGTTTGGGAAGAGCATCCCCGGAGCCACACAAGGACTGCCAGAGGCGCAGTCTATAGCGCCCCGAATCCGCGCAAGGACAGGGGCCCTTGCCCAGGCCGCAGCTCCACCATGCCGCCGCGCCCGTTGTTGGTTCCTCAGCTCAGGGGGACTGGGTACAGCTCAAAGCGTTGCGGGAGCGTCCCCGCAGCCTTCTGGGCAGGAGAAGCGCGGGCAAATCTCTGACAGAGTTCATCCAGCGCGGCGAGTTGGGCACCAGTGTAGCCTAGCGCTTCTGGGCCGGGACTCAGAGGTCCCAGGCAGCGGCCCTGCCCTCCCTGTTTTTCCCGCCTCCTCTTTAGCAAAGCCAACCCGCGCCGAGGTCCGCATGTCAGCCGCCGCGACGATTGGACAGCGGCTCATGAAAGCGGCCCCACCTTTTTATAGGGTACAGAGGGCGGGGCGCCGCGGAGCCCCGGGCAGTGGTGCGGCGAGCTGCTTCTGCGTCCCGCGCGCACGGTGCGACAGTCCCCGCACCCACTGTCCCACGCATGGCACCCATGTCGCTCGGGATGAACACCGCTGTGCTCAGGGCACGCGGTGGGGGCGGCGCGGGCTCAGGTCCCCTGCCCTTCAGCGTCGAGTCACTGCTGGAGGCAGAGCGCGGGCCAGACTCCGAGCCCACAGAGCCAGGGGAGGAGAGGCCGCTAGGCGCCGCAGAGACCCGGGCCTGGGTCCCGCCTGCTGCCCTGGCGTGCCCCCTACGTAAGTGCCCAGCCTCGCGGTCCCGGGTCCTGAGCAGCGCCAGACCAGCCTGGATGAAAACCAGGGCGGAAAGGGCGCTGTCGCTCATAACTTACAAAGTAACAGCCACAAACGCGCCCGGCCTAAGCGCAAAGAAAGAAAATTGCCCACCGGAGCCCTGCAGCGCGTCCAGGCCCAGCAGCTACTCCTGCATCCCACTCCAGGCAGGCTGCGGTCCTGTCCACAACCCAAGGCTTTTCCGCTTCAGGACTCTCCTACGGAAGCACTCCCTGTCGGCCCCAGGCCTTCCTGAGGTGGCTAAAGTTGGCTTGGAGTCCTGGACTCTACGCTCACCCCACTCATTTCCGGCCACGATCTCCAGTCCGAGCCTCCCGCTTTTTCCAAGTGGATAGAGTCCTAATCTTCCCTGGGGTGAGGGGCTGTGGGTTGAAGAGCAAAGCCCGAATCCACAGGGAGCCACCTTTGCCCCGCCGCTTCCGGCCCTTCCTTCGCTTGCCGCAGCTGCCTTTGGGGTCTCGTGGCTCCAAGGGCCCAGTCATGAATGGGAACTTGCGCCCACAACCGGCCTTTGCAGGGTCTGGCCGTGTCAGGACAATGACCTAGCGCCAGCGTTTGTGGTCCCTTTTTATACTTCTCTTTCCTTTCAGGAACCCCCAGCCCCGCACCCTGCATCCTCCGAAAACACAAGAACAACCGCAAGCCGCGGACGCCCTTCACTACCTCGCAGCTGCTGGCGCTGGAGCGCAAGTTCCACCAGAAACAGTACTTGTCCATCGCTGAGCGCGCCGAGTTCTCCAGCAGCCTGAGCCTCACCGACACGCAGGTGAAGATCTGGTTTCAGAACCGTAGGGCTAAGGCCAAGCGGCTGCAGGAGGCCGAGCTGGAGAAGCTGAAGCTGGCGGCCAAGCCCTCGCTGCCCTCTTTCGCCCTGCCCTTCCCTCTGGGCGCCCCGCTGCCTGGCTCGGGTGCATTCGGTGGCCCCGCAGGAGCCCTTCCCCAGGTGTCCGGGCTCCTCGCAGGGCCAGCCACGGCCTACAGTGTGTACTACCTGACTTAGGCGTGGGTGTGAGAATCGGACCGGAGCCGCCTAGCAGGAGGGATGGCCTTGACCTGCAGGAGGGACACTCCAGTCCGGCTCCGCCTGTGCCACAGTCCACGGAAGACTGGCCTGCCCTGAGTCCCTGTTCCTGGTACCCTCGGCATTTCGGTGTCGCCCTTTTTGTTGCTGTTGTTTAGTTTTTCGGTTTTGTTGCTAATACGATGTTATATTTAATGCCTGAAGCCTATTTRTGGGTATCTTACAAAGATTTCAAGTTTCTAAGAATCATGTTAGTACTAAACTGTTTGCTGAAAGGTAATGGACTTTATTCTGTACCCTCAAAATGGACCAAAATAGATCTTCCTACTTGGAATAAAGCAGCTGCCAAAGTACTCTGAGGCTTGCTCCGTGGACCCGCCTCTGGCTCTGAGATCCAGTTTCCTCCAGGTAGCCTTGTCCACTTGCAAGATTATTCTGGGACACACCAAGGAACTACTTCTCAAAGAAATTAAAATAGTTTGATGCCAGGACTACTGGAAACAAATACTGACACTCTAATTAGATTCTCACGTCATTATGGATGGAAACTTTTGCACTTATTTCAGGCAATTTGTAATTGGTTCGGGGAGCTTGAAGCTGATCACCCGCTGTGGTGGGAGCATGGGCACGTTAGTGGCGCCAGGGACAGCAATGGGGGGGGGGCGGCAGGGCGAGTGGGCCTGCTGGGCTTGAGGACATGCCTGGAGGACAAGCGCTGGGCAGGATGCTGCTGCTAGGCTGCTCCGCAACCCCGGCCAAGCCGTGCCCCACCCCCCACCGCTTGCAGGGAAGAGGAAGAACTCCTTGCGATGGTGGATGGGGGCACGGGTGGATCCAAAAGCCGCGGTCGAGGCCAGGTCCCCGCTGGTCACCTTTTGTTTGCAAGGCACTGAGCTCCTTGATGAGGCGGGCACAGCTCTCTTTACATGAAGAAGATGAACAATCTGACCCGCTCTGAGGAGCTACCCCAGTAGGTCCACCAGCCCTGCCACACAGCACAGAGACTCTGGAAAACCCACAGCTGGTTTCTTTGTAAACTGCAGCCTCAGACTGGAGGGTTAAGCTGAGCTTGCTGAGAGCAGATTCCCTGGAGTCACAGCAGGAGTAGTGGGAAGTCCCCACCCCCCACCCCCCAACCCTGTCCTGACTTGCAGCTGAAGACAGGACTGGATAGCCAAGGGTGCAGTGGGCCTTGACCATGAGGAATCCCCTCTCCCCACAGGCCTCTGCTGATGGCACTGGGCTGGGTCCTGCAGATCAGGTGGATCAGATGGCAGGAGGGGAAGGATCAACTCTGCTCATCAGGACCGCAGCCTAGGAGAAACTCCACAGTCCTACAGACTTCATGGGTGTTTCTACTTCAATTCAAACACCTGGAAGTTATAAAGATAATATGGCATGAAATTCCCTATGGTGTCCATTAGACACTCTTCCTGTGTCTCTGAGAAAATGGGAACTCACCATGGGTTTAATGAGGAATGATCCCAGTTCTTGGAGACCAGGCCGCAGAAAGGGAAGGTGCCTGCCCTTCTGAGGTGCCTGGGCTTGTCCACCCGCCCTGGGGCCTGAACTATTTAAACTGAAGCCCAAATTTTCAAGTGGCAGACCCTCCCGTGGTCTCTAAATATACAGAGCAAAGGAACCGGGTTGGGAAAGGTCTTCAGCAGCCAATGTCCCCCATGGGCTGCATCAGGCTGCTGCTTCTCAAGGCCCTTGTATTCTGTTTCCAAATCTTAGGTCTCTGAGTGGCATAGGGCCAGCCAGGACCAAGATTTATGGTTCAGTTTTAGTGATTTCTGAGTAATCCTGAAAGCTACTCATGAGGAAAACAAGCATCCAGGGCCCATTCCAGTGGAGTTGGGGTCCGCACAGCAACTTAGCCACCTTGTGGGCATCTGTGCACTGGCCAAGGGCATATAAACCACCCTACAGGGCCCTGGAGAGTGCCAGGCAGCCCAGAGCTGATGCAGATCTGCTGAACTGAGAGTGATGAGCTAGCTTATTTATCCTTCTGTAACCAATTCTTTTTTGGGGGGGAGGCGGGGGTACCAGGGATTGTACTCAGGGGCACTCAACCACTGAGCTACATCCCCAGCTCTATTTTGTACTTTGACAGGGTCTCACTGTGTTGCTTAGCTCCTTGCTTTTGCTGAGGCTGGCTTTGAACTCACGATCCTCCTGCCTTTGCCTCCCAAGCTGGCATGTGCCATAGCACTCATCTCTCTGAAACCATTTCTGACCCCAAATATCTGCCCAAGTCCTCTTGGTGCCCAGACCTCTCCAGGGTGCGCTCATCTCTGGGGCTGGAGGGCAGGACATGCATATGCCCCTGTTGCTTGTGAAAAGACTAAGGTGAACTTACCAAGACTGAGGCTTTCTCCTGGAGAGAGGATGTGGGCTAGAAGCCTTCTCCCAGGATTAGAGGTCCTGCAAACCCTAGGCTAACCTGGAGCTGCACACACCTGCTGGCCACCCCCTGAACTCAGCTAGTGTGTCTCAAAGTCAGAGGTGGCCCGGAACTGGTGGCAGATAGTCACCCATCGTGTCCCTGCAGGTAGTGGGTGGGCCATCTATAGACAGCTGCCTTGAACCCCAGAGTCCTGTCCAGCAGTCTGTGCCCTTTCAGCTGTCCGTGCTGGGCAACTCCTGTTGGGGTTGGGGACATTGCCCTGTCCTTAGGAGTTTGTGTTCTGGCAAGATGATCACCTGACAAGGTGGCCCGGAGCAATCTTCCAGGGTAGGACATACTTCTTTGGGAGTGCAGGGCGGCTGTGTGGTTCAGGATAAGGAGTGGACACATGGTAGAATGGCCTGGACTGTTGGTGGCCTCTGGCAGGGTCAAAGTGTAGAGGGCTGGTCTGTGAAATGCCCCAGTGACCCGCCCACTGAGCCCCACCATCCCAGATGTCTCATTGAGTGACATGAAAAGACTGCGGGTCTGGCGCCCGAGACAGGGCCACCTGTTCTCCTGGGAAAGGGAACTCATGGGGCCTGCAGAATAACCCTGAGGCTCYCAACATAGGGACTTTATCACCAGAAGATAGGAGTATAGCAGGGCTGGCTCGAAGGCCCACCAGCTTCTGGGTGTGAAAGGGGCTGACCCCTCTGGGCCTCATCCTAGTAGGGTCAGCCCTTAGAGCCTCCGCCAGCCAGCAGCACCAGCCTTACCCCTCTGGGTCTCTGGGGGCTGCTCTTGGCCCCACCCTGGGCATGGACTGCAGGCCACTATGCTGTGCTTGGGGACCACTAGGAGGAATAGGCCTGGTCAGGATGCCTTGCACTGGTTCTGGGGAAGGAATTTGTGAAATCTGACCAGCAGATCTTGAATGACAGTGACTATCAGGAGCTAAGGGCCTCCTTGCGGGGAGTTTTGAAAAGGTGATGCATTCTCAAGCTGGGTAGTAGGACTGGCATTTGCYACCCCTGCCAGGACATGCTATTCTACCCAGGAAATGCTTCCAGTGAACTGTGGAGGTGCAGCAGCAGGCGTGTGGAGAGCAATACCATTTCCACTTGGGCTGACCCCAAGAGCCCGGCGCTGGGGACAGGCCATCTGCTCTCCTGCTTGTCTTCGTGGGCCCAGTGTCCGCAGCTCTCAGTCCCGTGCACGCCCTCAGGAAGCGTTTATGAGTAAGTAGCCTGCGCTGTTTTCCTGAGTCCAGAGGGACTCAGGTGTGTACTTTGGTTTTCAGTTTTTAAAACTGTTGCCTAAATTGGCAGTTTCACTCTTTCTTTCTTTTTTTAACAYTCATTTTTATAGTTGTAGGTGGATACAATCAATACCTTTATTTATTTATCTTTTTAATGTGGTGCTGAGAATCAAACCTAGTGCCTCACATATGCTAGGCAAGCGCTCCACCTCTGAGCCACAACTCCAGCCTAAGTTTTGGCTATTTCTTTCTTTTTTTTTTTTAATATTTATTTTTTGGGTATAGATGGACACAACACAATGCCTTTATTTTTATGTGGTGCTGAGGATCGAACCCAGGTCTGCCCGTGCTAGGCGAGCACTCTACCTCTGAGCCACAACCGCAGCCTAAGTTCTGGCTATTTCTGATGGTCCATATAACATGCCATACTCTCACTGATTGGACCACCAAGGGGAAAAAATCACCCAGCAAGTTAGACAGTGAAGACCAGCGTTAGTGATAGATGGTTTGGCCCTGAGTCTTCTCTCTTGGGATCTTTGTTGCTTCTGATTTAGCTTTTTCATGTTGTGGTTCTACTCTACCCTCTGCTTCTTCTTGGCTGCTAGTGATCCTATGTCTAGAACTTGTCCCTTCAACTGTTCTGATTGTTCGTAGCTCTCTTTTGATCCTTCCATAGGTGGGATGATGCCCCCTTGCATTCTGACTGTCAATAGAGGGTTCTGACAGCTCCTTAGGCCTTTGGCCAAGTTGCCCTGGGAGCCCGTTGTTTCTGAAAGCAGCCACTTTGAATCCTGTAGCAACAAGTCTTTTGCTACTGAAGTTGAATTCCTTATCTTTGACTTTCAGCACTTTAAGTATGACTTGTCTATGGCTCTTTTTGCATTCATTATCCTACTTGGAATTCATTGAACTTCCTAAATGATGGTGTGCTTTTCAAAAAATGTGGGCCATTCTCAGCAGTTCTTCGGACACACTGTCCTGCTGCTCTCTCCTCTCCTCCCGAGGTTCTGTGGGGTGCCAGAGGTGCCCCGCCTCCCTCATGCTCTCCCCAGGTTCTTCATTTTCTCTCTCTTTTCTTGGTTGGTGTCATCAAGTTTCCTTACTCTTTCTTCTGCCAGTTCAGCTCTACTGTTGAACTGCTCTGGTGAATTTTTATAATTTGGGGCATTGTACTTTCAACTCCAGAATTTCCACTTGGTTCTTTGAAAGACTTGTTTCTCTCTTCTTTGAAACCCTATTTGTGAGATGTCATCATGCTTCCCTCAGTTCTGCAAACACTTCTGTGATGGCTGTTGGAGTTGCCTGTCTCCCAGGGATATGAGTCATGTG